AAATAAATTTTCCTTAAAATATGAATGACAGTTAAGTATCAGCAAAATGAGAAACTGAAGGCAAATGGATTTTACTTCCCATTTATTATGTTGGTATCATAATGGACCCTTGTCACTTGAAAGACAAAAATAATGACATGGAGCAGGTAGACTTGGACTCTATTTATAGCCTTTCATTTAACTTATAAAACATTAAATGATTCGAAATCAAATGAGTGATCTGTATCATACAAAGTCCGTGTCACAGTCTGAACTTTTGCTGCTAGTTCAAGGAAATAAACTGGACAATTTTGAGGCATGTGCTGTAGTAACAGGTTTATACTAGAAAATATTTTCAAACTTCTCTCTCCCTCTATTGAAATATTTTGCAGCCAAATTCCAAGACCAAGTAATTATAGAACTTAATATTACAGCATTGTATTTACTTCTGCTGATAATGTCTACTTACTAATACATAAAATAAATGATAAATATTAAATACGTATAAAAAATATGATATATTTAGTAACACTGATGAATCATGTTAACAATGTGAAATACAAAATGCCTTAAAAAGACAAAAATCAACAACCAAAATATCATCTTGTTAATTCAATTATTATTAATATGATCACTGAAGCAACAATTTCGAAATCAACACTAATAAGTTAATACATTTTTTAAATAGAACCCTAGACATAGAATAGAAGTGTCGGCACTGAAGAAATAGGCCCATGGCCTGTTGTTATCAACATGCCAGAACAAACTCCACAAGTTGATAATCTAGCATCAGTTGAGCGTGTTGCAAAAATATTTGGCATTACACTATTTCTTACAATATTAAAATTTTGAAGAATATCATGAAGAATGCTGATAAAGGCAGTATAGTCAGATGTAGGAAGACAGGACAAAAACTAACAAGCATGTGGCACTTACACCATGAATAAATGAAAAACCCTGAACCTGTCACAAGGTGTACTTGTGCAATGGGCTTTCAAACTACAACTCAGACTTTTTGCAACACAGTTTTATGTACAGAGCAAAAAAAGTGAGCTGGCCCCATCTTACTGCTGTGGAGTAAGATGGGACCAGGCTGGGGTAAAACAGGATCAACGAGCAATTATTGGTGCAAGGTTTTTAATCAATGCATGGACCTGATATTGAATTTTGCCCATCTTCAAACACATTAGTTGAAGTAACAACCACTTGTTGCCATTTTGTGTTGTAGGAAGTCAACTTCAATATAAGTCACATTGCCATTGGAGTTTTTGTCACACAAAAACTTCATTAGGCTTGCCCGATAAGTGAGTTGGCTTTGACTCATTGTAGAGCACTGCAAAGTACTACATATATATTTAATTAAGTCATTCTCAGTCATATGATCTGATAGTTAGCCGTTATTTCATTGTGTACGTTTTCTGTGGTTGTTTCCAACATTTCTTTACATCCCTTTAGGTTGGAGGTCTTCAGTTGTCCAATTTATTGTGTTAATTGTAATGGTTGATTCATATAAGGTATCAGAGTCCTCATTATCAATCTGTCTCAGTCTATTTGCTTCTGCCTGTTATTCTGTTGCTGCAATGCATTCTTCAATCCATTTGTGACTTTCTCTATTGATCTTTCTCTTTCACTCCACAACATCAGGACCACATGTCTCCTCCTGCTGAGAGACATGTGGTACTGATGAAATTGTACTCAATTTCAACTAGCTTATTTTCATATTCTGAACCTAAATGATTACAGATTGAACAGTCATTCACATCTTTCAGTTTGCCAGTCATTATCCAAGCATAATTAATTTCGAATTTGAGCTCATCCAGTCTTGAAGCGTCATACTTTGACATTCAGAAGATGAATACCTATCATACAATAGCTGCATTAACATTTTTAAATAGGGCTGTCTGACACACAGCTTAACATGTTCAACCATTCCTTGTGAAGGGGCCATGCAAGAATTCTAAAAAAATTTTCATAGTTAGGCTTCTAAGAAACAAAGCTTGCCACACATGAGTTAAAAACTATCTGCACAGGAGGTAGCAGTTTCAGGATATATTTTTTATTATTTTTGGCTGCTAATTTGACAGTTTGAGTGTTGCATGACTTCTGTGAAGCTCAAAAATCAGCAAAATTGGGTTTGTATTTTTAATGCCTCATTAAATTTGCAGAAAAATATCTAAGAGACAGCTTGTCATCCAGCCTGAAACAGTTATTCCAGGCTGAGTGAGCAGCTGTGCTTGCTTTCCTACCCTAGTGGTTTGCAGGTTTCCTTTTGAATGCAACATGAGGTGAAATTTTTTTCTATCTGCACAGACTGCGGCTGACACAATGTTTTTTCTCAATTGAAACCCTGTGTCTCTCTCAGTTTTTAACTGTTGCTTTGTTCTCTGATTGGCCTGCCAGAAAGCCTGTTTCACTAAGATTGAAGATGCATTGCAGTCTTACGGCAAACCCAAAATGACTGAAAAATTTACTTAATTGGAAATAAAACCAACGGATAATAACTGAAGTGTCAGGTGTCATGCGTTTTTTTGCCATTTGAATTTGTCATCAGTTTCTTTGAACATAGCCCATGACCTTTCAGAAATTTGTAAATTCTGTCATGTCCAGTTTAGTTATCTTTGTAGGCAGGCCCATATATACATACTGATATTTCCTACAGCCATTCTTGCACATAATTCTGCAGTTCACTAATGGGAAGAGACATCCCTTTTTACTCCATCCCCTTGTTGCAATTTAAAATAGTAAACTACATTTTCCCAATTAAAACAAGCTAACATGTTAAAATGGTTATTTTGAGCAAGATATGAAAATTGTATCTAAAATAATCCATGTATATCTGTGTAGAATGATCTATTCATTTAAAAACTATTTTTGTTAACTTGTTAACTATATGGGGTAAGACAGGAAACTTTTTAGGGTAAGATAAGACTGGTTGCTGGATAAAAGAGGATCATTTGGTGGTCCCATCTCACCCAATTTCCAGTCCTTTTTTACCCATTTTATAATGCATGTCAGGCTGTGATTGTCACTGGTAGCCTGGTAGGGATGCCTAGTATTGCTCAAAAGTTGCTCGTTATGTTTCCAAAAGTTGCTTAAAAATTGCTTGGGGGTTACCAGCCTACAGCCGCAAACATTTTTGTGTCATTAGACTCTAGACAGAGCTCATTTTCCAAATAAGGTTAACTATTTTCTGACCTAGATCTTCAAAAATTTGACAAAAATTCATTATTTGCAACAGTCTTGAAACAAAGACTGAAATGACTGGAAATAGTTGCTTTATCAGAATCTACCATCAAATTAAAATCAATGCAATTAGAATGCACTCCATGGATTGTTCCTATGTTACCCCATGAAGGCTGCAGTCCCATCTTCCTCTACTTGACTTAAGTTGACTATATGGATTGGCATTTATAAACCATCATTGAATTCAAGTAAATTTTAAGAAAATTGAGGTTAGTCTATTGATAATTGGTGACTTTACATTTAACGCGAATTAACACATTTCTATCTTGGCTGTTTGAAGCATTTTAAATGATGGGAATAAAATAAATATTAGTAACAGTATAGGAAGGAAGGAATTTTTAACCAATGAAAATAGAGAAACAAACTACATTGATTTATTGCAATCATAATTTTACCATTGAATCACAATTTTCAAAGTTAAATATCAATGAAAATCAAGCTTCAGAGTGATCTCAATTCTTTAGGATCTGAAATTAGTAGCAATTGATCCAAATCTAACTGTTGAAGCAATGAATATTTTCTATTGCCTATAAATTCATATGGCAGGGCTGACCAGCTGAATCATGTCTACTAAAATTAATTTCCCAAAATGAAAAGGGGACCATAAGTTCAGACGTGTCAGAAAATTACCGTAAAACATCACTCACATAGCCTACCCAGTCCAGTAATGCAATCGATATTTGTAAAGAGCGGGAAGTTGTTGAGAGAATATTCTACACTCACCTCATGCATCTTCAGTCCGGTGGAAGAACGACTCAAATATATAATATGCTTACCGAACTTGTAAACTTTGATCACTGATAATAAACTTTATTAGTTCCACTTTTGTGACGAAAACAAGTTTTTTGAAGAAACTCCAAGCAAAACTATGGGCTGAAGCGTTCACGAGACGTTGCCAAATGATACTCGTGTAAATTGACACAAGGCCACCTCTAGATTGGTGATTATTATCTCGCAATATTGTTGTTTAGTCATAATTTTGATAGAGCTTGTCCCATACGATATGCTGCGCACTTTATTATGTTATTTTAATATCGCAAAATATATAACTTTTTTGCTAATCCCGGAAATTGATGGCATCATTGAACAATATCTGGTCTGGTAGTCTTTATCAATGAATTCATCTGGTCGTTCAATCACGCTTTAGTATTTTGGATAAAAAAGATAGATCAAACTGATTTGTTGCATATATTGAGCAGAATTGCGGTCTAACGGCTCTGTTTGGTATAAAATGCAAGTATTTTAGTAATCACTCGAAAAATGGAAAGTGGTTTCATGTTTTAATCATGATTATCCAAGAAATAAATATTTTCTCAGGAAAAATTAAGTAAATTCACCATAATTGTCCTGCAATACAATGCCGTATTTTTATGTATAATGACTCTATTCAATTATGGTAAACAAACACGACATTCCATACAACTGGTAAACAAATTCGAAAACAAATGGCTCCATGCAAAGACGTATCTCTTGTAATCGTGACTTTCTACACGCTGACGGTTCTCAAATTTTGGAAAAAATGGCTGACGTCCAGGATTTTAGCACATTGCCATAAAATGTTCAGTCTGGGAAACTGAGTTTATTTTTTTATATATTCCGACCTAGGCTTTGGGATTTTTCCTACATGTTAGTTCAACATTAATTAGTATTAACCGATATCGAGGCAATTTCTGTAGCATTGGCATCATGAGCTCATTAAATTCATTCTCAAGCAACACAGCAATTAATAAATATCACCACTAATCCTGCAGAGGTATGCGGACGAGTAAAAGGCATAAAATTCATTGATTTATATTGTTAAGAAATTGGCGAATCTATGGTACTACATGCACAGTTAACAGCCGTGCTCACACGACAGTAACGAAATTTAATAGTGATGCCTTCTTACATCGAATGAGCATCGTTATTATTTCACACTTATCTATTCTATACTATATAGTATTCTAATAAACCATGATTTAATGCATACATAATTTCTTAACTCACTACTGTAACCATGCTACTAGTTAAACAGCTTTTCGATTGCTCGATAATTCTCGTGAAACTTTCATCAGAAGCCGAGATGTAAGGCGTAACAATAATAATGCACATACTTAACTCTAATCGATTAACAAACAATGAAATTAATCCCTTTTTTATTTTCCACGCCAGCCTATTAAATGATTTTTTCATATTTCAAGATACAAATGAGTACGGAGTTTATATGTAGGTGACTTTAGCATTGTAGCCGTGGCCTTTGTCGAAATACGCCACAACCTGGGTACGGCCGTCGGGAAGCAAAACTTTGTACTGGCCTTCCATCTGAAAAGTTGGGGGTAGTTAAACAGTGGGAACAATCATATCAAAGGTTAAACATTTCAGTAATCGAGTGCTTTAAGAAAATAGAAAGGTGTGTAATGTTCTTTAAAAGTAGAATAGCTCATTAACTCAAGCACGACCAAGCAAGTAAAACACTACAAATTACACCATTGAAACAAAACAGGATTAGCAAAACAAAGTCGCAAAAAAGGCCTTCAATGCTTAATTTTAACATCAATGATATGCTCCTCAAACAAATTAATGATGAATGCAATGCAATTTTCGCATGCGAAAACCCGACACAGTAGCACGTGAACCCATTTCTAGAAAATGCCTGCAACATCTAACTAATCATTTTACAGTCGTGTTATTTGTAAGTGAAGATACTTATGTGAAAATGAATCTAGTAGGATTCTTGAAGGAAATTTTTAATAATAATATTAAATATTGGGTAAAATCTGTTTGAAAATGGCCATGGCAAAGTCTGGCATCAGATTTAATATTTTAGTGGGGATTTTTGCCGAGCGCGTCGGAAGTTCTAAATAACTCTTTGAAAAGACATTACTATCCGTTCAAAGTATGGATTGTGCACGATGAATTGTTTTTTTGAAAATATCTGTATTATATAAGGAACGGAAAAATTAGAAGATAATATAACACGGAGTTAATATAACAAGACGAACAACCATGTGTTTACACTGACCATGTTGCCATCGTGCGTCTCATGCCTGTTGTAGTGGTTGCCCGAGTCTTTATCGCTGACGCCGTAAGAGAAGACGTAAGGCATGCCGAACGTCGTGTTATTCGACTTTGTTGTCGAGTGATGCTGCTCAGTGGCAATAAACAAATATTAAAAATATTCTAGGAATCCAGTGGCGTGAACTTCAAAATTAGACATTCATTATCGTGAATAACTAACATGGCGTGAAACTAAAAATCAGACAATACACTAAGCGATCGAAATTGAATACATTTTTTGGAGGTTTAGATATTATGGCGGTACAATAAAACGTGGAGGGAAAATTGAACACAGTTATGTATGATCTTTAATTTGGTATATTTCAATTTAAGGGCTAAGGATATGAACGGAATAAACCGTGGGTTAACTATCAGTTATTCGTAACGTTGTAACGTTTGTTGTATTGGAATCTTAGAAACTTTGATACGAGTATATATTAGGGGCTATTCGAACGCGTATCTGCAGTACACTTCGAATCGGAACTCAGCCTGTTTAGTGGCCAAGTGTTTAATAGCGCTCCAGCTATTTAGCTATCTCGCACCGAAAGTCAAGATGAACATCACCAAAGAGGTGGAAGGTCTCAGTTATCGAAAGTTTCATAAATAAAAGAATCATTCATCACCCACTAGGGGCGCAAGGTCTCAATTGCCCAGCCCGTTGAAGCTGGCTCGAAAGAAGCAGCGTAATTGTGCTTATAAACGGGGCGAATAGTTGCGTCGATTAGTTGAGTAGACTACACTTTTGCCGGCTGAGAGCCTATACACGAGAAGAGAGTTTTCGGTACAGTCCACCAGCGCCAGTGCGACGTTGGGAGTTGTCGTGTAAGGTGTGTGCGTGGTAGAGACAAGCGAGAGCTCTACAGCTATGCGTGTTACAGCGGCTTAGAGACAAGCAGGAGAGAGAGAGCGACGAGGTTATACTCACTGCGAACGCCGAAGCGGTACTGGGCATACTAGTGACTAGACTGGCTAGAAACAACTCGAACTGCTTTGGGTGCAATGCAAGAGCTAGTCGCCTCTGAAGACGTCAATCATCACAAATTTTAGTTTCGCCTCGTGTATGAGCACCTTTAGCATCTCAAAGAGACGAAGTGACAAGGAGGGACAGATGAGAAGCAACAGAAACTAAGACACTCGAACAAGAGGTAGCTTACACGAGACGTCTGCCGCCTGCAAGAGATAAAGAATGGAAATGTCAGGAATCCTACCTACACAATACCTTAACCCCACAACTCAAGCCCGCAGTCAAACAGAGAGCTCAGAGGTGGGGCGCTCAGGAACAATCCCTCTAGGAGCGCGAAATCCCGTAGGACTTCTGACGAGTATAGACACGCGTCAGAAGTCACCCCTGTGGGGGAACTTAGCCCAAAGCATTATTGTGAAGCAATGAGCCGTTGCAAAAATGGAGAGAAGAAGGTTGGATAAGGAAATTTAAACACTGTTCAGATTACCGGAAAAATTGCGTCCGGTATTTCGCTGCGTCATTAATTTGTACTTGATTACTGGATACAGAAATAAATGAACTAGAAAATCAGACATGCTAAAAATTCCAACCTCGTTAGGTTAAGGGTGCTAAAAGCCATCTACACAATCACTTCGGAAATCCTGGTGGTATTAAGTTCAAGTTGGCCAATTTTTTTACACTTTTTAAAGTCGTAAACTAATCACTGTCCGTTCCTCTGGAATTCTAGATAGGTATTATTGTGATGCAAACCCAGGATTGACTGGGGTAGATATAATCCTCGCAATATGGTTATCCATATATTTCAGTCTGAGGAATGATAATTACCTTTACAACGTCCAATAATTTGACTATAAGTCAGTCTTATTTGAGATTTTGATCAGATCATTTGATAACTGTTTTGTGAGCTTTAATAATAAGTATTTCATTATATATAAACCAATTTCAAAAGCGAACTTACGGTGGTAGGGGGAGTTGTGGGGGTAACGGTGGAGCGGGGCGGCTTTAATAATCCTTTAATTACCGTCTGATAAATGAGAGTTAACTTGCCGTAGTTAAAATATCGGACGGCTATTAGAGGGCTTTTAACATTACAATCAGACAATTTGAAATTAGTTGGATACAAGCCCGCGAACTATAAGCTATTTATATAGTGCTTGACGATTAAAATTTGATTGTGTAATGTTTATAATTCCACAAAATCGGACACTGCATCGCACGCCTTTTTCAATTGCAAAAAAGTAAAAATTGTCCTATGTAGCTTGACCTAACCTTAATCGAAAGGTCACTAGAAATGTAAAGAAGGACATTAGAAACGCCCATAACGAGGCTGAAGATTTTTGCATATTAAGTTTTATCGACATATCATTAGCACGTCCGGTAATGAGATTGTTGGCCATGCATTTACCGGACGCAATTATTCGGTTTTCTACCCATGTCCAGGAATGTTTAAAAAAAAGTCTGGTAGATAGGGCAATACTACATACTTGGCAAAACAGTCAAATTGGTCTCATTCCGGACACTGTTCAGATTACCGGAAAAAATTGCGTCCGGTATTTCGCTGCGTTATTAATTTGTACTTGATTACTGGACACAGAAATAAATGAACTAGAAAATCGGACATGCTAAAAATTCGAACATTATTAGGTTAAGGGTGTTAAAAGCCATCCACACACTCACTTCGGAAATCCTGGTGGTATTAGGTGGAAATTGGCCTATTTTTACACGTTTAAAGTCGTAAACTAATCACTGTCCGTTCCTCTGTAATTATAGATAGGTATTATTGTGATGCAAACTCAGGATTGGCTGGGGTAGATATAATCCTCGCAATATGATCATCCCTATATTACCGTCTGAGGAATGAAAATTACCTTTACTAAGTCCAATAATTTGACGATAAGTCAGTATTATTTGAGATTTTAATCAAATCATTTGAAAACAGTTTTGTGAGCTTGAATAATAAGTATTTCATTATATATAAACCAATTTCAAAAGCGAACTTACGGTGGTAGGGGGAGTTGTGGAGGTAACGGTGGAGCGGGGCGGCTTTGTGGTAGGGGGAGTTGTATGCTGATGAAAGATGACATTTGCTTAGAACATTTTTATTATTATAATCCAATAGCACGCAAACACGGCGTTACCCGGGATTGATATAATCCTTTCCCTATGATAATCCTTTAATTACCGTCTGATAAATGAGTGTTAACTTGCCGTAGTTAAAATATCGGACGGCTATTAGAGGGCTTTTAACATTACAATCAGACCATTTGAAATTCTTATAAGCTTATTTATAAAGTGCTTGAGGATTTAATTTTTATTGTTTAAAGTTTATAATTCCTAAAAACCAGACAATGCTCGACGCACCTTTTTCAATGGCAAAAAAAAATTAAAAATTTACCTATGTAGCTTGACCTAACCTCAGTCGAAAGGTCACTAGAAGATAATGTAAAGAAGGATTTTATAAATACCTAACCCTAACGAGGTTGGCGATTTTTGCATGTTAAGCTTTGTCGACATCATTAGCACGTCCGGTAATGAGATTGTTTACCAATTACCGGACGCAATTGTCCGGTTTTCTACCCATGTCCGGTAATGTTTCAAAAAAGTCTGGTAGATGAGGGCAATACTACGTACTTGGCAAACGTTCAAAATTGGTCTCATTCCGCACATTGGTCAGATTGCCGAAAAAAATTGCATCCGGTATTTCGCTGCGTTATTAATTTGCACTTGATTACTAGACACAGAACTAAATGAACTAGAAAATCAGACATGCTTGGGTTAAGGGTATTAAAAGTCTTCCGCCTAACTTTTAATACACTAAAAGCCTTCAGGGTATTAAAAACATTCGATAATCCTGGTGGCATTAGGTCCAGGTTGGCCAAGTTTTTTACTTCTTTAAATTAAAATTGTAAACTAAGCATAGTCCGTTCCTCTGGAATAATAGCTAGGTATTATTGTGAACCTGGCGTTGCCTGGGTAGATACAATCCTTGCAATATGATTATTAATAAATTACTGTCTTTGTATTGATAATTACCTTTACATGGTCTAATAATATGACGAAAAGTCAAAATTATTTGATATTTTACACAGATCATTTGAAATCAGTCTTGTTAGCTAAATAGTAATTATTTCATTATATATAAGCAAATTAAAATGTGAACTTACGGTGGTAGGAGGAGTTGTGGGGGTAACGGTGGAGCGGGTCGGTTTAGTGGTAGGGGGAGTCGAGCGCTGATGAGTGATGACATTTGCTTAGAACTTTTTGATCATTATAATCTAAAAGCATTCAAACCCGGTCTTGCCCGGGATAGTTATGAATATAATATATTGTCTTTGAATAACAGTTTGCTAGATAATAATTAGGACTACATTCCTCAAAAATTAGACGGCCAGTAAAGGGTTATAATATTCAAATTAGACCATTTGAAATTAGTTTGGGTAGCACGAATAATAGGTATAATAAGTAATACATTAAATATAACCAAATTCAGCTGGGCACTCACGGTGACGGTACTCTCAGTGGTTGGAGTTGGGGGTGAGCAGGGTGTAGTGATGGTCTGATGAACAGAGATTTGTGGTTACAATTTATTGACTACACTTTGCTCCACAGTTTTGCTTCAATAACGTCTTAAACAAATATTTTAGGAAATGCCGTACCGCAATGTTCAACACCATGTTTCCATATAATTAAAAAGCTGCAAATTCGTTGCTGACAAGAAAATTCAGCAAATAAATGAGTTAGCGTGAATATTGAATGTTTGATTTTATACATTGAATTGAAGAATTAAAAATTTGCAAGAGTAGGAAACAGATCAATCATAAATTTGACATCGATGACTTTAAACTCATATCTATCTAAAATTACTACGGAGTTTTAATCATAATGGCAGGTTGTGATTTATGGTAACTCGACATTTTTCAACAATTTCCACCACGTCCCATGGTTTGAGTTTGAGGTAATTTCGTCATGACTTTAACGATCCCGCATCATCTCCAGCTTTTCATTAATAACGCTACCCCTATCACGTTCATAAATTGAAATATGAGCAATTTTCAACGTTTGTATCATGCAAACAGCAACGTTTACGCTTACCCCGCATTCTTTAAATATCTTTGCAGACTCAATATTATCAGAAACTGGATGATGATTAATCATAGTGTAGAAATATAGTCTCTTTTATATTTATATGTTTAATTTTTCAAAACATCAAATCCTTGCAGCGCAATGGCAATTTGGATGAATTTTTCAGCTACGATTCGCTACTTCGATATGAAAAATTTTTAAGAATGCTTGACGAGTAGATATAGCTCTGAATGGTTCATACCTTCTTGTGTTAGCATCAGAAATTGATTTTTGCGTATATCTATTTCCACCCTCCAATGGGTTGAAAATATTCGAATACTTACGTGAGGTTTTGGGGTTTAACTCGTTCAGTCACATCAAATAACTCATCCCATGATGTGGGCCCCAAAAAACATTATAATGAACTTTTTGATGACTTACATAAGAAGGGGTAGTAGTGGGGTGGTCGGGGGTTCCGTAGAGGCCTGAAGGAGGAGTCTGCCGATCAAAATTGATAACTTGTTAGTAGAATATTTATCACGGATTTTATACCTCAGATGTGAGTATGACATTTTTAACACAAATGGGAATGTTTGTGCGGTGGCTCTAGGAAAATTTAGGAAAACATGAGGTGGTGTAGAGTGGCCAGAAGGTGGAAGAATAAATGGAAAAAGAAGAAGAAACAAAAATGGCCCTATGCTCACGGTTATGTAGCTGGTAGGCTTTTGCGGTTTCGATGGGGCTGGAGACGAATGAGGGAACCCGTCATTACTTTGGGTGGTTTAATTTTTAAGGTATACGGCGAAGCAGAGTGAGGGTTCATCATCTACGATGTTTATATATTTGAGTACTGTTAATCGAAAATAAAGATCATGTCTACTCTGTATCTGCTCGCTTATCGCTTTATTTTTGTCTTAGAATACTTTTAATGTGTCTTTTTTTCGCAACGGGTGATAGGATGAAGTGAAGGTGATGATAATAATTATGATGAAAGTATTGAGCCTGTCGAAAATGAGGAGGCTGGTAAGAATGTTAGTTTTTAGTTTGGTTGTTTTAGGGTAAATCCATTGGTATAAAGTGCGTTTCATGCTGGGAGGGAGGATATCTGTTCATCTGTGCAACTTGTGTGCCTGTCCTTGGTAAAGAAGGTGTCGTGAAAGTTGATGTTGATTGTGTGCCTATTGGAATTCAATTTATCGCGTCCGAAATAGTAAAAAACTTTGGAAAAATCCAGGTCTTCACTAAGAGCTTCTGTCCGTATTCGTTGTTTGCCAGTTAAATAGCTTAACAGCTATTTCTTCGTTGAGTTCTGGCATTGGAATAGGTAATTTCTTGTATTTTTCGTCACATAATCTTCGCTTTCTGGGTTCGCGTTCGTTATAGTGGACCTTGGTTGCAGAGGGACGTTGCACGTTCTGATAGATTTCGTAGTCTGTCAGTATTTATGCTAAGTTTTATGTGGACTGTCTCATGTGGTCGTCATCTATAAATTAATTAGTTCTTTGGTTGAAGTTAGTGTCCGGCTTCTTAGTTTCAGGTTGATTGTAAATCTCGGTAAGTCGCGTCAGTCCGTCAGCATAATGGTGTATTGGATGGTGTGTGTTTTTTTTTGGGACCAGCTGCACCCAAAAGTGATGGGAATAACTCCCGTCCTGGTGCAGCATGGTCCGCTGCGTATTTATTTGTACAGGTGTGGAGGTGGGGGACCTAGTGCGAGTACTTTGGAGCTATAGCATAATCGGTGCTGCCCTGCTATGGTGACTGGGGGTAATTTGAGTTGGTTGAAGAGTTGGGGATCAAAAGTTTTGAAGGTGAACCAGGTTTTACTTGCTTGTTGGTGAAGGACTGTGTTGGTTGTAGGAATTTTGCATTATTCGTATAGTGTTTGGGAGGATATAAAGTCGGACCAGTGTGTGTTCGTGATGAATTTCAGTGCTTTATTTTGGACTTTCTGCAGTTGGGATATTGCTGTTTTCGATAGTGTGTATTGAGGGGTAATCGAGAGTTGACCTAATATGGGTGAGGTATAGAGTGCTTTTTATGTCTGAAGGGAGATGGTAGAATCTGAATATTTTATGTAGATTTGCAAGGGCTAATACTTACCAAACTGTTATTTGGGACCTAAGACCATGTTTTTACCTGACCTGCATATACATAAGTGACTTTTGCCGGATGTTGGGACGAGACCGGTTGAAAGACCGATCAAGAAGCGCGTAATATAAGACTGCGTTAAAGCATGCACGCAGCACCCGAAATTTCAATGTTAATTGCATGAGAGGGCCGGGTAATTATCTTTGAATTTTGTTATACATTCATCGCCGAACTTGTAATGTTACTGCGGAAACTATGGGACGTATTCTCGATTAGCACGAGAAATTTAATATAAAAATATCCCTAGACCAACAACCAATGAGTGATAGCTTGAAGAATAGACAGGTGCGTATTGTTCTTATCTATATGATGAATGTTATTCGTTCATGGATTGAAGCAAGTATAAAGGTTCAGAGTTGAAAATGATGAAAAGATTTGTGTAATGGATTTTAGTTTTAGGAATTTTTAGCAGATGTTCTGGCAACGTCAACCAAAGTATTGGAAGGACCTGAACGGTTGCTTACGGTTTGGTCATTCGTTGATCCTTACTGAACCCAGCCGCTTGTACTCATGCTCTTGGTAAGCGTCTAGGTTATCTACTTTGTAATGGAATAACTGTGAGAAATATGTTTAGAATATTGTTGTACATATCTGGTTACTAGTGCTCAATTAATTTAATTAAATGCGTGTTCATTTGTAGGAGAACTTCCCTCCTCTGTTCTGCTGTTCTACTTTAATAAGCTTGGAACTTGGACCAAGCCTAATAACCCCAATCACCCAATCGGAAGTTACCGCCAACGAATCAAATAAACCCATCCGTTTGAACATGAACTAATAGGAACATTACAATTTGCTTCGTATAAAACATGTCTCTCTTACCGATAACGTAAATCCACGAAAGGAACGGTAAGGTTGATTGTCAGTAAACAAGTATTTCCGTGCACACGTTTTCCGTCAAAAACAAAATTAATCCTGAAACAATAGTGAAAACTGCTGAAAGCAAATTCAAAATTTTTTACATAAGTTGCCCTGCAACGTACCTGGTAGAATAGGAATGGCTTTTTCGGGGTGGTGTAGCTGTACCCTCGAATGGGGGTAGCGGGAGGAATGTCGGTACATTTCAGCGATGCTGAGTTGGGCAATAAGTTCTGCTTTGGGGGTGAAAAACCACTAGAAGGCTTCTGTAGTCCGTTAAATTTCGCTGCGGCTCCAAAGTCAGTGCTTCCTCTAAGGAAGAAATTGCGTCCTTTCCGCTGGGTTCCATTTTGGTGTAGTTCAAATCCAGTTCTGCCCAACACCGGAGGTTTAAGCTGGTCCAGCTGTTGCAGATTGGCTTCCCGGAAGGTGGCGTGGAAGTCTCCTCTCGACTGCCTGTGAGCGGTGGATCCCCCGCTCAAGTGCAACTTAGCTGGGATGCTGAAGACGCCACAACACAAAGCCGCCAGCGCAAAAGCCGATAAGGCGCACTTCTGCATACCGGAGAAAAGCGGCTCAAATGAAAGCAAATTAAACGGCTTATCTTGATTTTTCCAAAGAAGTGTTCATTTAAAGTAGTTGTGACATTGATTTTTTATCAATTATGTTGTTTTCGTGGGGAAGAAAACATGAAATTGAACGAGGTCAAAATTAATTAGATTATTCATGCTAACACGTACGTGATGCAGATTTTATGTTCAATCATTCAGCATTCGTCTACTTAAATGGTATCTTTGAAATATTTTGAAATGTGGCGATGGCTGTCCTTGTATATGTATTCAATGATGCTGGTTTAGATAAACCATTTACACAGATTTGAAAAGTACTTTTCTAGTCCGAACAAAAAAATATTTACAATGTGTTGCCCCCACGGAATACTTTCTCATTCTTCGTTTTGTTGAATTGGTCGCGCAGTGGATCAAATTACTGTAAATTTGTATAGGAATTCAAATCCGAGCAGTGACACGACTTATGCTTAGAAATGCCACGAGATCCCGCAATATACCGGGTTCTTCTGAAGACCTTCCTCTCCGTAAGAGGATTTGGATTAGCTCAGAACACCGATGTCGTTCGAGTGACGTGTCAAGACCAAAATCGCGAAACGTTAACGTGATTTAACATTATTTCGAACGTTTTCACTTGAAAAATAAACATTAAAATTAACATCTTTGCTTTTTTGTGTGTATAATTAAAGATCATTGATAATTTCAACAAACAAAATACTCTTCAGAATTTTAAATGTTATTCCAGAGAAAACAAATAACACTTTCTAAAGCTTATATCTGCATGTAATAATCATCAGTTGACATCTATCATGCATTTTGTCCGAGTTAACATTTATCATGCAATGCAGTGTCATACACAACTATATCATTTAGAACATCAGTGTGGCGAACACATACGATTCCTTCTAGTTACGAAGTGAACAGAGAGAAAGTTTCTTCAAATTAGTCAAAAAGCTTCCATCAATGAAAATGAAACTATTAATTTATGCATTAAGCCGGCAGCTTTAAATGACATGCACGTTTTATAATATATAACCAATTTATTCTCATTACTTTATTACTCTTCATTTTTCTCTTCACGTGCTCAAATAATGAGTTGATTATGCAATATACTTTGTTATAATCAGAGCTGGGCAGCGCTACTTTGGAATGTAGCGGCGCTACCGCTACCGCTACATGCTCTGAATGTAGCGGGCGCTACCGCTACCGCTACACCCACTAGATTGTAGCGAGCGCTACCGCTACCGCTACAGTAAAATGTAGCGCCGCTACATTAGCCGCTACAATGGCCAAAATTATTGGAAATCTCTAAATATTTATTGTCTGCTATTAGGATTTACTCATAAACATTTTCAAAACATATCAATGCAACTTTATTGCAATTAATCTAACCGAACTAATACGGGTTAGATACAGTAAATAAAAGTTAGTTATTTTTATGTTTTACCTTTCCTACATGGATATCTACTTTAATCTACCAATCTCAAAAATTATCCACATATACATATGAAAAATCAGTCTTTTATTTGTATATATATATGTGGATTATTTTTGAGACTGGTACATTAAAGTAGACATCCATGTAGGGAAGATGAAACATAAAAATAACAGTGTAAAAACAACTGTAAGCAAACTGAAACATGAAAAAATGCCTGTAAGTGGTAACTGGTAACAACTTAGCAAGTAACAACTAACATGTTGACACTAGTAACAGGCTGAGGTTGACAACATTACACCGAAATCTTTCGTAAAGTTTTATTCTGTAATTTATATTATGTATGTATCATGCTGGTTTTTAAATAATATTTAATACTATTAAGTAAAATCGAGAGCAGTGGTTCCCAAACTTTTCAGGCTGGCGCCCCCTTTGGCTACCTAGTGAATTTCTCGCGCCCCCACACAGACACATATAAAAACATACGCCTCTTTCTTGAAATTTAGTACGCTGCAATTTCAAAAGATAAAGGTTAAACACGAATGTGTATTTCACGAATAGAACCCCATTTAGTGAACCAATTTGTTTTTCAGCTGTTTTAACTGTTTCAGCACTAGAAACCTAGGACGTCTCGAGCATATGTACGGCCGGACTCGTGGCCGGTCGCACGACCAATCTCGAAATTCAATTATCAAGTAATATCTACCAAACTAATGAACGCAGTTCACTGAAACCTGAAACACGTATTCATCAGAACCTAACGCGGATTTTTAGCTCGTAAAAATTATTAAATTTTACCTTCATTCGTGAGTTATATTGCGATACAGGCCAAAATTTGCAGTGATCACAGAATTTCTTCCAAACTACTGAACAGATTTGAACGAAATTTTGTATATACATTCCTAACTACCAAACGGTGATTTTTTAGCTTGTAAAAAAAATTTCGATTTTACCTTCGTTTGCGTGTTTTTTGTTTATTTCACCGTCATTCCTGATTTCACACTTCCTTATATTCGGACCGTATCGCCGGATAGTTAGTCGCTTAAATTCGCGGCGATCAAGAAATTTCTTCTAAACTACGGAACAGATTTAAACGAAACTTTGTATATAAATACCTAACCTCCCAACGGTGATGTTTAGCCCGTGACAATTTTTCTATTTGGCTTTCGTTCGCGAGTTATACAGATATAGGAGGAACGGCCGGCTTTTCTACCGGCCGGCTTTTCTACCGGCCGGTTTAACCAGGAGCCGTTTACGTATAGCCGTATACGTATAGCCGTATACGTATAGCCGTATAACTCGCAAACGAAGGCAAAACGAAAAAGTTGTAGCGAGTTAAACATCACCGTTGCTGAGGTTAGGTATTTAAATACTAAGTTTCGTTCAAATCTATTCCGTAGTTTCGGAAGAAATTTCTTGATTGCACGCATTTAAGCACATATTGCTGTTTAAATCACGAATGAAAGTGAAATAAGAAAAAACTCGCGAACAAAGGCGCAATCGAATAAATTTTCACGAGTTAAACATTACCGTTCGGTAGTTAGGACTGTAAATTCTAAATTTCGTTCGAATCTGTTCAATAGTTTGGAAAAAATTCCTTGATCCCTGTGACTTTCTGCCCGTATTGCCATAAAACTGTGGCAAAAAAATGAAGGCAAAATTCAAAAAAATTTTCACGAGCTAAACATTACCGTTAGGTCCTAATGAATACGTGTACCAAGTTTCATCGAGTTAAGTTCAGTAGTTCGCGAGTCCGGCCGTTAATTTGTCCGAGACGTAAAACCAGGCGAGGTTAAAAAGCAGATCTGGGTGAAAAAACCATCGCTGGGAGTCATTATGCGCTGCACGTGTTGTGTACAAATCGTCAAACAAACATTGGAACTTCTGACTTTGACTTCGGGCTGCCGCCCCCCCCTACCGCCCCCCAAACGCTCTCTACTTCCTTCAGTATATCGCTAATGGTACTAGAAACATTATGTGAAAAGGATATTGAACAGTAAGCATTGTTTAGATTTTATTCAACAAAATAGAAAAATAAACCGACGCAAAAGTATTGGGCACATGTTCAAAATGAACAAAAATAACTTTTTTAGGTACTCAAAATTCGCTTTTCGCTTTAGACGTTCCGCTAATCTCATATCGCAATCTAATTGGCCAATCTTAGCAATTTCCTATTGTTTACAAGATTTCGTGTTCCGTTGAAGATATTATTCCGCTTCTTCTTTGATATTTAATTTAAAATGCCTAAAACTCGAGAGTTAGCGACAGATTTGCGTCAAAAGTTCATCCATTGTCACAAAAAAGGGAAGTGGTATCAAATAATATCCAAGAAGCTTAGACTATAATTAAATACAGTTGGAAAAATCATCAGGAAGCTATCATCCTGATGATATCATCCGAGCATGCTGTTGCAAACCTCCAAACGTCCAAGGAAACTAACAGACGGTAATGCAAGGTGGATTAGCAGAAAGGTACAGAAGAACCCGTTTGTTACTCGTGGTGAAATTAAAAGCGACTTGGAGGAAGCTGGGATTGATGTAGGAAAGGATATAATCAGCATAGCTCTAAATCGTACTGGTCTTATGTCAAGATTCGATCGAATTCCTTCTGAAAAGTTCGATTTTCGTTTCTTCCGACCAGGATTTTGTCCGATTTCCCAATTCTAATGGTTTCTCTCAGTATGTTTCAACATAATTCAGACGGGCTTTTACTTGCCGGTACTTCAAAAGAGGAACCTTTGTTGAGGATCTTGACATGAGACTATAGCAGTGGACTAAGCTTCCAGCGCGCTTGACCTAACGTGACAATTTTAGCAGGAAATCTATTTTAGCGAGCTTTCCCTCACAGTGTACGATGCGCATATCTTTCGCTATACACTATTCCTATAATTTTACGTGTACCACGTTAGAACACAAATTGATGAATGAGGCTTATATACCGCATTGTTAAATTAAGTTTTTAACTTTCAAAAGTTCATTCTCTCATATAGACGGTAAGGAATTTGTATAGTTATTCGCTAAAAATGCATACATCATCATGACTTGGATATGTATATAAAAGACAGAGCAACATGAACATTTCTGATTTCATGACGCAGGTAGGCGAATATATGTTCATTTGCGCCACCGCTGTATCATTGATTGATAAAAATTGGACATGGGGATGACGTTTGACTACGTGAAACCTACTGTAGGTGTGGTCTTTCTTTTTATTCCTACACTTCTATAACAAAGCAATTTATGGTAAATGAAATCCAGTGGTCCCAGTTTTGCAATATAAATTTCAGGTAAAAATAATATCCCGAAATGATAATAATCGTGGATAGACGCTCGAACAGCGCCAACACATTTACTGCACCAGGCTTAAAACCATATACACGCTAATTTCGACAATTAATTATGAATTTTTTGTTAAAGTTCATTTGCGTGTGTGTGAAGCCTGGCCCCGGAATTATATGGGGAAAATTACATACACAAACAAATTCAGGACTTCTGCTCATCCGAGACCGGAATGCAATTCCCCATAAAAGTTATCAACATTTAATTCGATAGAAAAAATATCAAAAGCATTTTCGACGAATGGAGCTGTCCTTTAGGATGCTCATATATGTGCATTAATTGCCAAAAAGTCATTGTGAATCTCAAATAGTTCTTGGTAGGATTTGTTTGCTAACTATTTCAAATAAATGTCCTTGAACTCAATTCTCAGTCGCTAAATGACTTGAATATATTTCTGTCAACTAAGCACACACAATTGCGTTAACTTAATAATACCAGCGTCGACAATAATTTTACCTGAATAATATCAGGGGGGTTTGCAAGAAGATAATTATGCTTAAAGTTTTATTACCGAAACGATTAGGCTACATCACAAAATTTCCGTCAAGTTCAGTAAAATGAATCTACTGCAGCTTTAATTTATACTGGAGTCATCATACCTGGATTCCTCTCATGACTACGAGCGTATACGATGCAATTCTTCCGACAAACGCTGTGCCCGGTAAGTTACTGACAGTGTGAGGGCAGGGCCGGTCCTATAAATACCGTCTTCAGGATTCCGGCTTTAGGAAGGGGGAGGAGCCTATATAGGAACAATGCGTGATGACCGCTACTCATGCACGGTTATTGAGCAGCTCCTGTCAACGCGTTTAAAGACCTAGCATGGCCTTCTGAGGAACGATGAGAATGATCAGTAATTACGATTAACATCTGTTTCTGGGTGCATGTTTAACTGGTTATAATTAGTGTTCAGATATCGGGACAATGGAAGTTTACAAGTTTTCTCATGGTTTATACAATGTCCTAGAAGGATTACTAGAATTTGAAACAAAAAATAAGACCAAAGGCCACGGATACTAGCTAAAAAATATAACTCGAACAGTACCCACTGCAGTGAGTGACAGAGAGCGCATTTTCTCGTCGGCGAAACGTGAAGTCACAGACGGACAGACGGACGGACGGACAGACGGACATGGCGAGCACAATAGTGCATTTTTTCCATAATTGAGAAAATGCGCTAAAAATCGGAGGTATAACTCATCCACGCGACAACACTTCTTCTCGCTTGTGCGTCACTGGCATGTGGAATATAGTTTCCCTGGTGGCATCTTTGACACTCCGACCAAGAACGCGTTCAAGATCAGACTAGAAAGGGGTATCTTTTCAGTCTTGAAATGCCTGGCACCCCATGTACCTAGTAAAAGTTTTGATCATGACTAGATCTTTTAAGTTTGAAAAGATCTGGTCAACGGGTCAGTTTTTAGATCTCCTTTGAACCCGTCATAAAAATGCGACAATTAAGCCACGGGCCTATTTCTTCAGCGCCGACATAACTATGTTATGTTATGTTGTGTTATGTTACGCTATGTTATGTTGTATTGTGTCGTGTTATGCTATGTTGATTCAGACTAGCCGATGGATACTTATAATGGTGTTACCGGCTGTATCTACATATATTGATGATTGTATCATATATGTATAATTTCATCATGGTGAACTTTATGACGTGTGATGTTCGTGTCTTTTATATAATAGTTGTTGATTAAAGATGACGTCAAATGTAGATAATTAATTAGGTCCCATTCTGTCTTAATATTTCGTTAATTTTTTAATTTAGGCGTCGCAGGACGCAAAATAATTAGCATGGATATTTCTTGTTTTGTTTAACAAATCGCAATCGGTTTTTGAAAGCATATAAAAAATAATATACGTTTAAAAAATACTTTTTAAAGACAACACTTCCAGGGAATCCAGTATCTCCAATCTTGCCGATGTACAATAATTTCTCATCTAATTTTCGAAAATAAAAAAAATTTACTTTTAATTTTTTTTAATATATATAATTTTTTTTATTTTTTTATAATTTTTTTTCGAAATTATTTATTCTGTTATTTGATTTATACATTGCCTCTGATTTCACACAAGTGTGCAAAATTTCAGATCAATTAGACACGTAAAAGTGTGTCAAATATCAGTTATAAGATTTGTAGCTGATAAAATTATTTTTTCAATTTTTTAATATTGAAAAAAAAAAATTTACTTCTTAAAATCACTTATTTTGACATTTGATTCATGCATTGTCTCCAACTTTAAACAAGTATGCAAAATTTCAGATCGATAGGATAAGTAGAAGTGTGTTAAATTTCGATTACAAGATTTGTAGCAGACAGACAGACAGACAAACAGACAAACAAGAAGTGAAGTTAAAGAGAAGTGTTGTAATATACAACAATAAATGGATGGATAGATACAAGTAATATGTCATTATTTAGAAGAAAGTATTCAAATCGTAGTTCCTGCCACACATAAAAGTAGCGAATTTCAGCGCCCCAATAGCTTCTGCCAATTATTATAGACATTTATTTAATTAGCCGAACCGCCGGGTGCTGGTTGCTAAACCCTGATTTATTGGAGGAAGGTAGCATGACAATCATAACTTGGTTGCAAAACTTATTCCAGAACTTTTTTTAGAATCTAAACGAAAAAATCAACGAGAAAAATTTTAATCCATTCTTAAGGACACCATTTAACCTTCGAAAATCGAAGCAATAAATATCTCATTCAGGGAAAATAATCTCGGTCTCATTTTAGAAGTCGATTATTTTAGATTTTTCGATTTTTATTTCGATTCTTTTAGAAGTCGTAACTCGATTCATCACCGATTTTGGGTCTGACCCAATAAATTTCTGAATAAAGAAAGCAGTGGCCATGGACACTTGCATACCTGTTCCTTGCGTAGGTATTTATTTTTGCCTCAATGCGCTGATATTAATTTGCTAATAATAATTCTTATATATGTTTAAAGACCGATAAATAATTGACATAAAAAACTATTAAATGTGATGAATTATGAAGAAATCTGAAATTTAGTACGAATCCTGACATCCAGGATTTTTAAAATATTTTCCACCTTATACGCGCATTAAAATTCACGTATAATTTAGGAAAATATCCGATTAATAATTCTTTTGTTTAAGACCAGTAATATTTTTATTCGAGGGAATCCCTCAATTTCTTTCTTAAACAGAACTTCAAAACTTTATATCAAACAAACGATTTACTTATGCTCGATACACTCGACACTGAAAAGGACTAAATTCCTGAAAAATTTTCTATAAACTATTTCTTACATGAGATATTATGTGCAGTCTTAAAGCCTAGGTTGGCGTCCTTGAATATGAAGGTCGCAACCTCTTCCTTACCTTATTAACACGACCTCAAGGTTACTTACAAAAGCCTCTCCGAAGATTGCAAAGATTCCATATTAGAATTTCTGATTAAAAAATTCCTTCAATAATAAAAATGACTGAAGTCTCGATAGTCAAGGACGATTGGTCTCTTGCAGGCATAGTTTCTATAAATAAGTTATAGGATCGTTTTTTCCTTCGATCGCGCGATGCACGAATGTGTCCGTGGTTGTAACAATGTATCTAAAATTCTAACTTTTCAACTGTGCGAGCTTCACCTGCGCACCGTAAATATTGCGACAAAACTCGTCGAAACTTGATATAGCAAGCATATAAAGTCAAAACAAGCTAAAAGCTATCTTGTAACAAGATTCAGTTGAAAGATATCAACGCAAACAAGCCTATTGGAAACGAATGAATTCTATACTAGTTTGAAAAATTTGTCCTGTAAAGATATTTGCTTGGTACCTTGGCAAGCAAATAACAGCTGGTGAGACCAAATTTATTTTTAGGGCTAAATAAAACATTGACAGAGAAAGATACAGAAAACAAAATGTCATGAAATTAATTTATTTTTGCACGAGTTAAAAGTAGATTGGTTATAGGATATTTCGTTCGCAAGTTGTATAATGCAAAACAATTTATTAAGAAAGAAGCGCATTTCCTCATTTGATCTTTAATTTCGGAAACTAGTGCATTTTATGATTATTTTTAAGCTAAGCTTCACGATATTTCTTATCGTATAATCAACGAGGAACGCGGCGTTAAAATGGAGTTACTAATATTTTTATGGAGCATAAAACAAATTCAAAACGATTTTTACATTCTTCTACAATTAGAAGGTTTCAAGTTCTATATTTATTGTAATTTCGCCACAGGTTTATTGTAGCGGCGTAAGACCTACGTGGAAGATATTGCTACCTACAACAGTGCGGGCATGACTACAAAAAGACTTAATTTGTGCGTATCCCACACACATGACTAGTGTTAAATAAGAAGAAGATCCGAGAATTATTTCCTCGGCCTTGAAAATTGACAAAACCAGACAGGTTTAATTCAGGTGTGTTAGGAGCTTATCAGCATTACCACGCTTGTCTTCTTCAAGCAGGCTCATTAAAAAAACTGGTTGTTAATCTTGAATGCATAATTTGTCTCCAGGACTTACTGCTTTTACAGACTTGGTAGTGACACACAAGAGGTCAGTGTATTGCAGCTTAAGACTGTAACAGAAGAATTTAAAATGAAGCACAATTTCATTCTACCCTAGGAAACTCTAGGACTCAAAAATTACGATCAAATTAATCTCCAAAATATATTTTATTTCTTCGTATATTTTTTTATCAGCAACTTCGAAATTCTAATGATGAATCGAACAGTTCTTAATGCCTCGCGTGGAGTTAATCTCGAGTTAATCGAGTTAATCTCCTACAACACAACACGGCAAGGTTGACACAAACTCTGTATCGATTTTCGAACTAAATTCGAATAAAATTGAGGAAATTTTACAATATTCGAACAAAATTTTTGACAAAGCTCGAAAAAAGTTTTAAACAAAGATTGAAGGAATGTCCGAATATGTTCGTATAAAGTACGGGCAAAGTTCTAACATATAATGAGGAAAAATTTCAAAGTTAGCCTGGGCCTATACTTTCAAAAAAAGTTAAGAGATCGTAAGTTCATCAGCAAATCATTGACGGCCTTTCAAGCAAAATTTACCAATCATAGAAAAGAAAATAGAGCGTAAGTACTTAAGTTCACTTAGCGAGTTTTGAAAGTATGGCCCCTGGACAATGGTTGAACAAATGTTCAATGAATCTCGGATGAAAAGTTGGGTCAAATCTTTCTGAGTAAAGGAGTTCAAGGTCACGGGATTCAGCATAACAACATTTTATATACTTAGAAGCCATCTATCACGAGCGGGTTCAGATTTACAAGCTAGTATTTTAAACATTTGGCGGTCATTTGTATGATGTATGACATGATGACTTACATTTGTATGATGACTTAAAATTGCCTCTCAAATACATTCACGACGGTCACAGGTTCGTGTTTAAGGAAACGTTATCATGCCGCTGACAATGAGCAATCGAACCATTGTTAGTACATGTCATCCCCACTATATATACCATGCCCAAGAAATAAAAATATCAAATTTCCAGAATAGCTATTTCCATCCTTGTTTAGAAGATGGATATAGCAAAATCGATTCTATTAATTGAAATAACTTGACAAAATTTAATTAAATTGAAATGCTAGCCCGTGAAAGTGTTAAATAGATAAGTCTTGGGACTACTGACGATGAAATTAATTT